CAAATTGGTTCAAAAAAAAAAAATTTGGCTAAGGTAAACATTATTATTTTCCTTTCCAGTTTTGTAGTTTTGTTTTGTATGTCAAAATCTCTGTTTTAAGTGTTTTGGTAAATTGTAGATTAGTTGTCTTAATTTTGTAGGTTATTCTGTAGATGTGATGTTTAACAGTTTATAATTGTAGGTATTTTGTAGTTGTCTTGTATTTATATTGTCGTTATATTTTAAATGTTGAAACAAAGATGTATTTACTTTCTTATTCCTGCATTTGTTTCTTCCTCATTTGTGTTTACCTATTTTTGTAGTGATGGTGTAGTTATATATAGATAATATGTAGATTAATGCTTCATTTTTATGCATTTTACTGATGTGAAATAATTTATCATTTTTTGCAGAATGGACATTATTTTGCCCCACAAAATGTGGATTATGGTGTGCTTAGATTCCACACTTTGTGTGATCCTAGCATGCCTAGCCAGATAAAAGAGTTGTTGTCTCCAAATGCTTTAAAGCTTTTTAAAAATACTTGTTTTGGTTACTTACTGTCTCTCCCCTCCATTTGCATGCATAACCAAGCTATTCATCTCCTCATGAAGTATGAACTGTCTAAGTCTATTGAATCATTTTTTTCAGTCAACTTGAAGGGGGAAAATTGAATTTTTCATTGAGAGAGTTTGGTTTAATTACTGGATTAAATTGTGTGAATCAGTTTTCAGATTTTGGATACACTTCTAGTTATGTTAGCAAGTTAATGAATAGCTATTTTCCTAACAAAAAAAGAGTAGAGAAGTGGTATTTGAAAAACATAGTGACAAATAGATCTTGGGTAAATGATGAGGATGCAGTCAAGTTGTGCATTCTTTATCTTTTGGAATTTTTTGTTTGCCCTTCTGACAAAGACCATGTATCTTTTATAGACAACTTTAGGTTCTATTTGGTGGAGTCTGGTCAGTTTAAGTCATACCCATGGGGTATTAAATCTTTCAATCAGGTTATGGAATCTGTTAGGCATCGTCTAAATCCCCGTGTACATTCTTATCTAATACGGGGATGCTCATTAGCCTTGCAAGTGTGGCTTTATGAATGTTGCTCGACCGTCAACACGGAGCTTGCTACGAGGTCTTCTGACTCAATACCTCGCATATTAAGATGGTCAGCTACTAAGGGGCAGATTTGGTTAACTGCCTTTGAGGAGAAGATGATCAAGCCTGAGTGGATTAAGGTATTTTTTCAATTTTGGTTACTGTCTACATATACATTCATAATATCTACAATCTGTCTATATTTTCTTCCTTAGTGGAACTAACTGGGTTTTTTTCATCATTCAGTTCACAAGCATAACTGAATCTGGAGAAGAGATTGGAGTGCTTACTCTGCCAAACAAGATTCAATATGAGGATGAACAAGTTGCACAATCATCAGAGGTTCCAAATGTTGATTCTCCAACATTGGAACCCAAACATACAGATTGTCAAGAGGACAAGGAATCTGTGGCTAAGAAGCTCAGGAAGCTAGAAAAGGGAATTCAACAGGTAATATTATTAACTACAATATATTTACATATTAGCTACAATTTATCTACATTTCATAACAGTTGATGTAGTATATATTGTAGTTAAATTGTAGTATAATTCTATATTTCTATATTTTTAACTTTTAGGTTGATGGAAAGTTAGCGGATTTTAGGAAGGCTGTATTTGAGGAACTCCATAAACTGAGAGTGTTTATAGATGATTCTGTGAAGAGTGTTTTGAAATTGGTAAACAAGAGCTATGATGTGGATGAGGCAAAGGTAAGAGTTGACATATATTTATATACCAAAACAAATTATGACATATGAAACAATATACTCAACGTAACATTAAATCTTTAGTTTGCTGGTAGTTCAACCAAAAACAATGACCAAAAATAAGGATTGAACAACCAACAATTTTATTTCAATATTGGTGATCAAGTGCATGCAAGCACAAGCAACACAGGTATCTACAAAATACCTACAAATATATACACTTATTATAAAACTTTATAGAACATAGTTTTATTATTCACATTTTATCTACAACTTCCTACCTATATCTACAACTTTCAAGGCAGCATTACCTAGTATTATTTACCTTTTTTAATTATAAATTTAAGCTGCAGTTTGTCCAGAACATGTTCCAGGACATGTTGACTTATATCCAGAATTTCAAGAAGCAGCTGATGTTGATCAAGCAGGTATAAAATCATGCTGTCATTCATAATAAATACTTGTTGTTTATACAATTTTAGATTCCTGTTAAGTAATTTATGTTTTATGTAACAGATATTGAAGATGTCTATGTACACTCCCCAATTCACGGAGTGACTGTAGCAGCTCAGACAGAACAAGTCAATGAGAAACAGCTAAATGAAGGTGAAGATGCACAACATGTGGATGAAGTTGGTTCTGAAGGATCAGGCATTGATAAGAAGGGTGTGACATTGGATGACTTTGAGTTGCCAGACAACTTAACACAATTGGTTAAGTTTGGAGAGCCCATACCAGATGAAGCAACCCCTATTCTTCCTGGGAGAAGCAGGCAACCGGGGAAACATGCACGATCACCTTTCATACCTCTATATAGTTCTGGAGGCAGCAGCTCTACTGGTCCTAAATTTTTCTACCTCAAGCACCCCTTCATAACTCTTATAGGTGAAAATGTAGATTCTGATGTGTTAGATAAGTTCAACAAGTGGTTATACCACCGTACTGACAAAGTTTCTAAGAGGTATGAATGCTTAGTTTGACACTGTCATTTCAGCATTTTAAAGTTTAAATATGTAATTCATTATGTGATTTTTTTGATTGGACATTTATTTGTTGTTACAGGAGGAAGGCTCCATTTTCAATAAAGGATAACCAAATCAAACCTTGGTTAGACCTTGGAGTTGAAAAGGTGGATAAGAAGGACTGGTTTTATTCCCTTGCTCACCCCGGACAAGTCCTCAATAACTCTGTAAGTATCAAAGAATAAATTCACAAGATATATTCTGGCTTCTGTTTTGTAGTAGAATTGTAGTTATTACATGATTGTAGTTAATTTGTATTTATGTTGTAGTTTAAGATGAAGACTTACAAATGTGTGCTGTAGTTTGAATGTCAATATTATTGAGACCTTATGGTAGTTTGCTGTTTTCCATGTGTTGCTATGTATAGCAGCTAAAGTGTAGCTATTTGTTAGTTTATTTGAATTCTGGCTTTTTATTTTAAAATGTATCTGCCTTGTTGATAATTGTAGTTACAGTGTAGCTTATAGTAAATTTTATTTTATTATGCAGCACATTGATGTTATTATGTATTACCCTAGAAAAAGAGGCAAATATGGCCCCAACAACAACAACCGATTGCTTATTCAAGTCAAAGATTGAACAAATCTATGAGAAGTTCATAAGTACTCCACAAGAACAAAAGTATTCGGTTGTTAAACCCGATGATGATGTTGCAGAATATATTCTTGGGTATAGAATTCTTGCTAATGTTGCCTGGGATGAAGTTGACTATGTCATCATGCCCGTGAACATTGTAGAGAAGTTCCATTGGTTGTTGGTCGTTTTCGATATAGCAGACAGGCAACTTTATGTGTATGATTCCATGGTGTCTTCACACAACCATAATGCTGTTGAAGCATGTGTTGATAAGTTTTCAATCATTATCCCTCTGTATTTGTCTTGCACTAGTTTCTACGGTAAGCGTAAAGACATTGACTTCAAGACCACAAAGGCATACAATGAGAAATCAGTTACAGACCCTATCAACATATAGTGGTTGGTTGCGGAGATTCCACAGCAAAAGGAAGGATCACTGTAAAAAAATTATTCTCTCTTTCTAAATGGTTAATTATTTTTTTTATAATCATTTGTTAAATAATTAAATTTTTGTGTCTTATGCAGCGATTGTGGGGGTATTTGTGGCTGCTTTTGCGGAGTATGTTAGCCTTGGAGATTTGTCAATCCCTTCAGAAGACCTTTCGGATATCGACCAACACCGTACACGCTATGGAGCTCTCCTATGGGACTATGCTACAAAGAAGTAAGAAGATGGGTCAATCAGTGAAAGTGAGGTTACAGGAAGGCTAGCAAGGAGGAAGGGTGCTCCTGCTTTGAATGAGAAGACTAGAGTACAGAGAAAGAAGAAATAGCGTGCTGTTTTCCTAGTTTACTTGATGCCAATTTGTAATTGAAGGAGAATACAATACTTTATGAACAAAATTTTTATGTTTTTATTGCAGCAGATCTTATTGTTTTGTTATTTTATGACAATATCTATATTTTGTGAAGAATCAACGTAGTTATTGTATATAAATTTTGTATTTGTATATCATAATTTCTAGCTGTTTACCTTCTGTATATAACTGTCAGTTGAAGTTAAATTACACAACAAAAAGAATAAATAAATACTCCAATCATAGAAATGTGTTATCCACAATGAATCTGCAAATTGTCTACAAAATTTTACAAAGACTACAATTTAACTACATTTAACCTACATTATATCTACAATCCGGAAACACTTTACATGAATTTACTTTTTAATATCAGTTTTATTGTAGATGATAAATATTAATACAAATTTACACTATATCAAAGACAAATTTAGATGCCTCACAAGATACGTAAAAGCATATTAAACACACATAATAAAATTGTAGTATACTTCATAATGATCTTTAAAAACTTAAACGATTACACAAAAAAATGTAGATTCTTTAACTCACTAACAATAACTACAAAATAACCATTCTAACTACATGATATTTTTTTTGGGTGCATTCTTGCAAGATCTTTTGTTATGCCCTTCACCTCCACAGTTTCTACATGACACCTTGTGCTTCTTTGACTTTAGTTCATCATATGTTTTGTATCTTTCCTTTTGAGGTCTTCCTGGCTGCTTTTTCTCTCCCGTAGGTGGTTTTACTACTTCATCAGATATATGTTGTGGCACATTCCATTTGCTTTCATCAGGAAGGGGATTTACTGGTATTTCATATGTACGGAGTAGGCTCTCCCTTGTGTAATACGGCGAGAAATAATTTTTCATATCCTTCATTCCTGTCCCTTAAAACTGCCAAAGCATGCGCACATGGAAGTTCATCAAGTTGGAACTGGCCACAAGTACATTTCTTGTTTTCAAGACACACAATGTACCGCTTCGCACCATTTATCACAGTATAGATAAGATCTGTTGAAGCCCTCACCTACAATTACATAACAAACAGAAATAAAAATATTTAAAATTCATAAAAATAGTTTATCTACAATTATCTTCAACTTATCTATAATTTATCTACAAATGATTACCATCTACAAATTAACTACAGTTTGTCTACAATTTATCTACATTCTGGAAACACTTTATATAAAAATATTATTATTCTCCACAAAATAAAGAGATTTTACCCTAAGTTTCCGAGATAATGTACCGTTTTTCTCCAATTCTTTGTTGAATTTGTACCCAAGGTATGTGAAAGTACCCTTTGCCTTCAACAACTTCTCTTTCGTCCAACGTTCAAGAAGTATCCTCATATACTCTAATAGGTCAAATATAGGCAGCTCTCTTGCATATTTTGTTACAGCATTCAACGACTCTGCGATGTTTGATGTCATAGTCCAAGTTCTATTCACTGTTGCATGTACTCTTCACCATCTATGATAGTCGATAGTCAATATCATAGAGGTATGATTTAACACGAGGGTCTATCTCTTCAATCTTCGACATCCTTTCATTAAATTCATCCATAGTGTATGATCCTGCTGTAGCAAAGTACAATTCATTTAATTGTAGATAACCCTTCTTGAACTTTGCCCTTATATTTGTCCAAATATGCCACACGCAAGAGTAGTGTAGCACGCCCGGATAGACAATTGATGTTGCCTTCAGGATACTCTCATTCATATCTGAAACAACACACATTGAAGTTCTTTCACCATATGCTAGCTTGAATTGCTCAAAAAACCACTTCCACGATGCATCGTTTTCCGAATCAACCACTGCATATGCCAAAGGCAATATTGTTCCTACATTATTAATAAAAAATTAATTAACTGGCAGCTTTGAAATTGCATATAAAGACACAAATACATATAAACTACAAGATATCTACAAAGATATCTACAATGTTTCTACAATTTACACACGGCCTACAAAATAACAACAAAATAACTACATTTATACCTGCTGCATCCATTGTGCTTGCTGTCAGCATAATTCCCCTATCGGCTGTCTTTAAGAATGTCCCATCAACCACTACTACTGGTCTACAATATTCCCAACCACTTATTGATGTACAAAGAGCAACAAATGCATATAAGAAGCATTCATCGTTTGTCTTCTTCAATTTAACAATTGAACCAGGATACGTTTTCTCAAGAATATAAAAATATTTTGGTAATTTGTTGTAGGAGTCAGCCGGATGACCTCTCAATAACTGTAAAGCCTTTTCCTTTGCCCTCCATGCTTGCATGTAGCTTAGGTTCACTCCATGTTGGGATAACATGTCAGTTTGTATGTCCTTTGGTGTGTAAACTGTCTTAGGATCACAATACTTTGGTATGACCATGCTACCAACTACAACTGCAGTACGTTTGCGCTGTATGAATGTATCGTCCATTAAGGAGCATGTGTGTTGTCGGTTGAAACTCCTTATCTTGAACATTGTGGAATCATTAATTGATGTTGCCTTGAAGTGTCATTTACAGTTTTCACCAACGCATACAATCCAGTAGCTTCCAAAAAAATACAATATTTAATACAGATTATAAATGTAGGTGCAACAAAAGGACTGTTTTACCATAAAGTAACATAAACTACAATTTAACTACAATGTAACTACAATTTTACTACAATTTTTAAAATATTTTTTTACTTGACTAAAACACTGCTTTTATTGATATTTTCTCCATACCTTCTATGACTAGATCTTTTAACTCCGAACTGGAACTTGTGCATCACAGAAAAGTGCTTCATTGCAGCAGCTACAGTTTGCTTGTCCTGATACACTTGTCCTTGTTCAATATCAGTTTGCGTAGATTCTTTTATTATTTCACTTTGATATTCCTCTATAGCTGGGGAGGATGGCATATCAAGTAACTTTAGGGATCCAGACGAACCTGCATCGATATAAAGATAAACAGTGTCATTTTAATTTGTACAAAATTTGTAGATTTTTCGTAGATATAGTTAAAATTTTGTAGACATCCATATTAGGATGTCAGGCATTGTATTTAAATTGTATAAATGTAGTTTTAATTGTAGTTAAATATAGATATATTGTCGATAATATCGTAAAATCATAATTTTATGCAATTTCTAACTATACAAACCTGCACTCGTGTTATCGTTCGTGATTGCCAATTCCATATTGAAATCTCGTACACTTATACATAACGGATATGAACCTAAGTTTTTATTCTCCTTTTTGGTCTCCACATACACACTAACCCCTGTCACACCTCCTTTTTTCTACACCCGCAAGGGTATAAAGGAGTTTTTCCAATTAAAGGACAATCAGAACGGGATTTATTATTAAGATTCAGAGTCGCCACTTAGGAGATTAATGGTGTCCCAAGTCACCGGTTGAATACCGAACCGAGGAATTATGACTCTGTTAACAGTCCGCGAACCAGAAATCCGGGTAAGAAATTCTGTTAACCCGGGAGAAGGTGTTAGGCATTCCCGAGTTCCGTGGTTCTAGCACGGTCGCTCAACTGCTATATTTGGCTTATTTATTTGATTTTAGTACATGTTTTAACCTATATGCTTTCAACTTTGAACCGCTTTTATTATCATTATTTTAAGAGAATTGCAACGTCGTGAAAACATGTCTCGAATCGCGTCACATAAATGCACCCGCAATTTTTGACGCATTTCGACTTCGTTGAGATTTGGATTTGGGTCACATAAATGTGCACCCGTATTTAAGAAGGTAAGATTATTAAAACGCGCCTAAAAGGACTAACATGTTATTATCTTTGGGGAAGGCCGTGAAATTCGCTAAACGGCCCATCCCAAAGTCTAGGTATTTTTAGTATAACGCTTATCGAGGGCCCCGCCATTTGTTTGTTTTGTGTAGTGAGGCTCATCTCGTTTTATTTAAAAGCCAATCCTAAAGCAACCTATAATTTTCTATTTAATTTGTCTCTAATCAATAAAAGAAAAAACCTAATTTATCAATGTTTAAAAATTATTGTGCTTAGATCCATGAACTCACATGAATTCAAATCTAGAATCAGTTTGGGCCTTGAACACAGCCCATATGAAGAAATCATTACCAGGTTCGCTTGAATGCATGCCAACCATAGGCCTGGCCATCCGTTTGAACATTGAGTCCAAAACCGCCTGACGTGGCCAATCACTGGTCCAGATGAGGCCTCAATTCAGTCGAATCCAAATGCCTACTAAAATTATATCCAAATCCGTCTGAATGGGTTCAATACTTGTAATAAAAGGAAATCAGTTATGCAATTACACAAATTAATTAGACAGTGGCCATTTGAATTTCAATTCCATGCTCAAATTATCTTATTCCTCTATTTATTGGTGTGCTCCTAACCGTTACTAATGGTGAAAATTAAAACAGCAGCATGGATCGACCTTAACAACAACAACTTGATTAGATGACTTCCTTTAACACTATGTATGAACAGGTTAACAGTCCCAATTCAGAACAAACCAACGATTTTAAAATTGGTTCAAACTAACATTATTCATTCAGGGAATTCGCGACTCTAGGACCAAATTATTGAGGTTATTACTAAAGGCTGCTTACTACGCCAGGACTTAACATACGTAGGAGTTCGTATATTCAAACTCTAAGCTACAACCACTACAGGAGTCCAACTACATTTCATTGAAGCTACAGGTTTAGAGGAAATGAATTCAAACCCAGAGTTCAACAGTCCGGCTAATACAAATAATTTTTAGGCCATTAAGTGCAAACAAGCAAAACATTTAAACATCAATGAACTTAAACGTTGAGTACATAGGTCAGAAATTGAGCTAAATAAAATCTCATGCTTCAGTCATCATATTGATTCATTCTTCAGTTTACAATCATCAAGGTCAAAGCTGTGTACCTGGAATTCGAATAACAAANCAATCAGGATTCTTTTCTGATTTTTAGCGCGTTTTTAGGGAATATTCTGCCCTTTTAATACCTAATAAACGAATGGTACATAAATTGTAGGAAAAATGTGGACTAGGCAGGTAATTTAGATAATATAAATATTTTTGGTAATAAAGTTTCATATATGGTATAGATAATTGGATCGGTTGGGCTAGGCCGGGCCGATTCATTCCTATTTTAATTGGCTAATTATTTATTAGACTGCAAATAAAAAATAAAACTAAAAAAAACGTAAAATAAGAAAATACTACCGGAAAATTTATTTTCTGACCATTTTGATTTTTGTGTGAGAAAACAAAGTTATTTGACTTTGGTGGAAAATAATCATAGTTATATGACCATTTATGTAATTTACCATTAATAAAGATTAGGTGAAAAATTGAGTTGAAAATATATATTAATTAATTAATATTAAATAATAAAATTATATATAGGTTCTGAAAATGGGTTGGATCTATTGACTGAGATCGTAAAAAGAGGACACGGAGGTATGAGTTGATCGGATGCAAGGAAGCCCAAGCATCTATTTATTTGTTGATGATAAAATAGTGTAAGTTAGATTATTATTTCATATTGAAAAGATAGTTGAAAGACAAATATAATTGTGAAATTAAGATTGTATTTGAACCAAATAATTTAATGGGATAACCTCTTTTGTGACCACTCTTTATATTTCGTACCCTTATTAAAAATCTTTCTCCTCCTTTTTCTTCTGCTTCTTCTTCCTCGTCCTTCTCTTCCTCCTTCTACTTCTTCCTTGTTTCTTCTTCTCCTTCTCATTTCTAGATTATGTTTGCGAAACTCCTAATACTTGAACAAAATATAAACAGTGACCTCAAGAAGTGCTATGTGAGAAATCAGCCTAATCGAACTCAACATGGGCTATACTAGAAGCTTGGTTTAGGCCCAAAGCTTTACTAAGAGTGGTTGCCATTTTGGGTTTCTACTTGTCAGGACCCAAATCTCCCACCGTCGGTATTGTGATTGCGCCTAACATCGCACTCGCTAGGCAAACCTACATTAGAGATAGAATCACCTTTTTCCTTTATATTTTTCTATAATTAAGATTAACAAAAACTGATCCAACAGAAATAAAAGCGGAAGAACATATTTAACCAATTAGCCTTATACTATTAACCAGTTCGAAACAGTACCACCCAGAAACTGGTGTCACAACTCACGAACATTCTATGAATAACTACAAACATGGGTTTGAAAGACAATTACATCTGTCTCGAAGAAAGTAAAACAGAAATGAAGTAAACATAAGAGGGGACGCCAAGGCTTGCGGACGCCTGCTGGACTACCTTGGGTCTCCTGAATGCAATAACAACAACCGACCTCTCGATTAGCCACTACCAGCTTCGAAATGCATAGAAAGTGTAGAGTGCAGTACCAGTGTTACAACCCATATTCACGTACGTTGATTCATGCCATAAGTTAGTCGACGTAAATCTGAGAAGAGATTATCTTTGAGATGATAAGAAGTTAATCCTATTGGTCTTAAATGATACAAGGGTGTATAAGGGTGGTTAACAAGTATTAGAAGTTAAACGAATCAAGAATGTTGTAACCTGCATTTTTGGATAAACCTAGGGGTGCTAATATTCTCAAGAGGTCGCGTTTTAAGGTATTTGAATCATATAATATCCGTATCATAAGTCTTGAAGTCAAACGAGTTATGAAATAAAAGTTAACAAAAGTTGTCGCAACTTATGTTCATAATTTTACTTAAACTTTAGGTCAAATGTTACTAAGCTTTTCTCCCAATTTACTTGGAATTACGGAGTGGTCTACCCACCAAATTGAAGATCTATGAGTCTAATTTCCAACGCATTAAAGCGTTTATCAATATGATCTCGGAGTATAGTGATATTTGTATTTTCGCGAGACTGCGCAGATTGGTAGGTGACAAGTAGGTGCATCACCTACTTGCCAAAATGAGAGGACTCAATTAAAAGCCCCAAAGTCGGCCAAGAGGGGAGTTTTAAGGGCTTATCAACTCATTTATTTCACCCATCTTTCAGTCCTTGGAAACCAAATTGAACCCCTGCAACTCCTCCCCAAAAATCCCACACAAACCTTAGGGTATTTCGGGTGTTACGACGTGATTCTAGTGCCAAAAAGTCCGGACAGCTTGCTAGTTTCTCTTTCTCCTTCTTGTAGCCGCGTTGAGGAACTAATTTTTGATGAAGAAGGACCAGGTTTTGTGGGTTATACTCAGTACAAGGTAAGGTTATTCTTCTCCTTCCATTATCTATGCGTTTTCAAGTTGTAACTCGATCGTAAAGAATAGACCTAGCGAGTTTCAAAAGAGTAGTATGTTGTTTGTTCTTGCATCATGGTTGGCTGGTTATGAACTTATTTTTAAGTTGAATTCATGGCTGGTTTATTGGATAAGAGGTATAATTATGTACTTTTGGTTGTGTTTCTCAATTTGAAAGAAAAGACAAGTCGAAACGTGTTTAAGTAAACTGAAAAATTAA